TGCAAATTCATGCTACTCATTCATTTATCTATTGACTTAGTTCTTTATAGCTCAGTGCTGTGCTGGTTGGAGTGTGGGGTCCAGAAAAGGAGTCATGTCTGCCCATTCCTGCCCTTCTTGAGCCCCTAAGGGAGACTGACTATGTTAGTCTGGGTTCTTGAGAAACAGAACCAATAGGAGATCTATGTGTTTATGTCTGTATCTGTCTATATCTAATTGGTATCTATACCTATATCTATATCTCATCTATATCTGTATTACATTATCTAATCTATATCTATCTGTATCTAATCTATATATCTATTTCTAATCTATATCTAATGCATATCTACATATCTCTATCTAATCTATACCTATATGTATGAGATTTATGATGAGGAATTGGCTCCCATGATTATGGAGGCTGGGAAGTCCCGCGATCTGCAGTTGGCAAGCTAGAGACCCAGGAGAGCTGATGGTGTAGGTTCTAGTCCGCGTCCAAGTCTGAATGCAGGAGAACACTGACGTCCCAGCTTGAAGACAGTCAGGCACAGAGAGTGCATTCTGCCTTCCTCAGCCTTTTGTTCTGTTCGGACCTGCAGTGGATTGGGTGAGGCCATCCATGTTGGGGAGGGCCACCTACTTTACTCAGTCCCCCGATGCAAATGCTCATCTCACTCAGTATCTCTCACAGACACACCAGCGTCCGCTTGACACACAAGATTCACCTTCGCACCGATATATGAACAAATAACCACGCCGCCAGGATGTGTGCTGGAAATGAGGTGGACAGAGTCCTGAGATTGCAGAGGAGGAAGGAGAGTGGCTCACTGGCCCAGGGAGTGCTGCTGAAGAGGTGGCCTGTGATGAGACTCTGAACCAGAACAGCCTTTTGCCTGGTGCAGAACAAGGCTTTCCAGGCAGAGGGTTGGGCAGGAGCAGAGATGGGAGATTTGAAGTTGTGTCGTGTGTCCATAACCTTTCCTCCAGACTGATGGCTTTACCAACCATGGATGCGCTGGAAAATGGGGTTGGGATGTGCGGAGCGGCGGTGGAGATGGAGATGGAGCCGTCAGAAGGGACTCTGGGCCCTTAGCGGGGGGATTGCAGGCAGGGGCTCCTTCAGGAGGTCACTCCCCCAGTGCTGGCAGGAGGGATGGCAGCTTGCATTTTAGGACAATTATGGAGGGAATAGACAGGAGAGAAGATTCCAGAGATGGGGTGGAAAGTGATGAGACTTGGTGCCTGCACTAGGCAAAAAATTCATAAAGTGAAAAACATACCCTCAGCTTTTAAAAGGAAAGGTTTCATGACAACTGAGAACAACCACACATATGTCAAAATAAGTGGTGTTTTAATTTTTAATTTTTCTGGGTTCCTAGTAGGTGTCTATATGGGATGCATGAGATGTGTTGACACGGGCCTGCAATATGTAATAATCACGTCACCGAGAATGGGGTGTCCATTCCCTCAAGCTTTTATCCTTTGTGTTACAAACAATCCAATTATGCTCCTGTAGTGATTTAAAGATACACAGTTCTTATTGACTCTAGTCACCCCGCCATGCTATCAAATACTAGGTCTTATTCATTCTTTCTGTTGTTTTTTTGTTTTGTTTTGTTTTTGTTTTTTTTTTTCTGTAGCAAAATAAGCATTTTAAAAAATCCAGTATTGAGACATGGCTTGGTCCCCCCACGCTACTCTGGTCTGTGGATGTTAAGGGACATTTCATCACCTGGAGTGACTTCCACTTTCCTTGAAATTTATTTTTTCCTAGCAATTGCTTTTCAAGGTTGTGTGTTGAGAAGATTCTCAGTGACACACTGGGTAGCTCCTGGGAGGCTGGGCAGGGGACTGTCGTCATAACCCCAGGGGATCCCGGGGTGGCAGTGTTGCAGCTTGGGAGGCATGGGTGGATTCTGGATGTGGTTTGCAGGTAGAGTCAGTGGGACCTCCTGGAGGTGTGGACGTGGGATGTGAGAGCAAAAGAACAGGGAAGACTCCAAGGTTTTTGCCTGAGGAGCCGGAAGGGTGGAGTCAACTCTTAAGGGAAGACTCCAGGAAGAGAAGGTCTGGGGATGGTGGTGAACGTCAGGAATTCAGGGCAAGGTGATGTCTGCTGGACATTCCTGTGGTGACGCTGAGGAAGCACTTGGATGTATTTGTCTGGAGCGCAGAGGAGAGCTGGAGGTGTGAATTGGGAGTGTCCAGGTGCAGACGGTACTGAGCTACCAGTTCAGATGGGCTTACCTGGTGCCTTCGTTTCCTGGGGCTGCCAGAACAAATGATTACGAATACAGACCAGGAGGCTGAAAACAACAGAAATGTATCTCCTCACAGTTCTGGAGGCCAGGGGTGCAAAATCAAGGTGCCTGCAGAGCCATGCTCACTCGGGGGGCTCCAGGAGAGGCTCCTTCCTGCCTCTTCCAGCTCCTGGTGGCTTTTGACTGTCCTTGGTGTTCCGTGGCTTGCGAATGCATCGCTCCTGTCTCTGCCTCCCTTGTTACATGGCTGTCTTCCCTCTGTACCTCTGTGTCTGTTTTCTCTTCTTATACGGACTCTGGTCATTAGATTTAGGGCCCACTCTAATCCAGTATGACCTCACCCTAACTACATCTGCAAAGACCCTCTTTCCAAGTGAGGCTTCATTCTGAGGTTCTGGGTGGATGTGCATTTTCAGGGGATGCTATTCAGCCCACTATACTTGGGAGTGGGGTGGGTGGAGAGAGGAGCGAGGGCTGAGCCTGGGTCTCTCCAACATTAAATGCCGTGAGAAGATGTCCCTAAAAAAGGAAAGACGAGGAGGAAGAGGAGTGGCCCAGGTGGTAGGAGAACAAACAGGTGAATGTGACATCTTGGAAACGTGTTTCCAGGAGGCAGGACTGGCCAACTGCACCAGATGCTGCTGATAGACTAGGTGAGAAGAGGATAGCAGATCGACCACAGCATTGCATATCATGGAGGCCACTGGTGACTGCAACAAGAAAGGATCAATGGAGTGTGGCCATGGAAGCCTAAATGGAGCGAAGCCAAGGGGTTTACCTGAGGGAAGAGAAAGCATGGTCCTTGCAGAGACTTCTGCATGAACGTTCGTAAACAGCATTGTTGGTAATAGCCCAATACTAGAAACAACCCAAATGCCCATGAAGTGAATGGATAAAGAAGCTGTGGCTCATCCACACCGCGGAATACTACTACTCAGCAAGGTAGAGGACTGAACCAGTTATCAGCGCATCCACGCAACAACACGGGCGACTCTCAGAATCATCCTGCTGAGCGAAAGAAGCCAGATACAGAGGAGTGCATATTGTATGATTCCATTTGTATAAAACCCTGGAAAATGCAAACGAATTTATGGTGGCAGAACGCAGATCCATGGTTAACTAGGGGTAGGGACAGGAGGAGAGGGATGGGAGGGGTGATGACACAGGAAAATGGGGCAGCTTTTGAGGCTGACGAATGAGTTCACTATCTTGATTGTGTTGGTGCTTTCACAGGCATACACATCTGTCAAAACTTTGCAGATTGTACCTTTAGTTATGGGCAGCTTATTATATACCAGTTAATCCTCAATAAAGTTATTAGAAAAATAGGCCAGGTGTGGTGGTTCATGCCTGTAATCCCAGCACTTTGGGAGGCTAAGACAGGAGGATTGCTTGAGCCCAGGAGTTTGAGGCCAGCCTAGACAACCTAACAAGACCCCCTATCTCTGCAAAATAAAATAAAAAATATCCATGCCTGGTGGTGCATGTCTGTAGTCTCAGCTACTCAGGAGGCTGAGATGGGAGGATCACTTGAGGTCAGGAGGTTGAGGCTGCAGTGAACTGTGATCACACCATTGCACTACAGCCTGGGTGGCAGTGAGACCTTGTCTCAAAAAAATAAAAAAGTAATTTTTACATTAAATCTCAGGAAAATATAACACAGAAAATCTTCTCTTTACAATCATCAAGTAGGAACATGTTTTATTCTCGCTTCTTAGCCTCAGCCTGATGGTTTGTAGACAGATTCTTGGATTAGTGATCTAAAGTGTAAATATTTTGTAACCTTAGCTGCTTTTATCAGGAAAAAGAAGCAAGTTATGACAGCACCTGAAT